AGACTAGGCAGCTGGGGGTAGGGCTGAGTCCCTTGTTTACATGATTGCCTCTGGCTCAGCCCAGGTGCTGCCACAGGTGGTCAGGGAACGTGATGGTTACACTTACCAGAAAGGAACCTTGCAAGTCAGGCTCCCTACAGATCCCCAGGGTCCTGCTTGGGGTACATGACGAGTGCTCAGGCCACAGAAGTTCCTTCTAGGAAATTGAGGATGCAGAAGAGTTTTAATAAAAGAACTTCAAAGAGCTGGTTCTTTAAAAAGATTAGTAAAATTGACAATCCCCTGGCTAGACTCACTAAGGAAGAAAGAGAAAAGACTCATATAAACAAAATCAGAAATTAAAGAGAAGTCACCACAGACATCACAGATATACAGAGGATCACACTAGAATACTATGAAAGACTGTATGCCACCAAATTCAGTAACTTTGAAGAAATGTCTAATTCCTAGAAATATACAATCTTCTTAGACTGAATCATAAAGAACTGAAAAATCTAAATAGATCTATTAATAGTGAGGAAATTGAAACAACCATTAAAAGCCTCCCCCAAAATAAACAGTCTAAACCAGATGGCTTCATTAGTGAATTCTACCAAACATTCTATTAAGATTCGATACCAGTCCTTCTCAGTCTCTTCCAAAAAACTGAAGGAGAGGCAATACTTCCTAACACATTTATGAAGCCAACATAACCCTGATACCAGAATGTGGCAAAGATAACACAAGAAAACCACAGTATCTCTGATGAATCCAGATGCAAAAATCTTAAACAAGATACTAGCAAATTGAATATAAGAAAACAAAAAAAATAGTACATCACAATCAAGTGGGGTTCATTCCAGGGGCACAAGGATGGTTCAGCATACACAAACCAATCAATGTGATACACCACATTAACAAAACAAAGGGCAAAAATCTTATGATCTCATCAACAAGCATTTGATAAGATACAACATCCATTTATAATTAAAACACTCAATAAAATGGCTATAGAAGAAAATACCTCACTGTAATAAAGACCATATATGACAAACACTCAGCTAATATCACACTCGATGGTGAAAAAAATGAAATATTTTTCCTCTAAGATCAGGAACAAGACAAGGATGTCCACTCTCACCACTCTTATTCAACATAGTACTGGAAGCCTAGCCAGAGCAGTCAGGCAAGAGGAAGAAATAAAAGGCATCCAAATTGGGAAGGAAGAAGTAGAAGTGTCACATTTGCAGATGACATGATTCTGTCTATATAAAACCCTAAAGACTCCACTAAAAAACCCAAACTATTAGAAACAATAAACGAGATAGAAAAAAGACACAATGAAATTGAAAGATATTCTGCGTTTATGGATTGAAAGAACCAACATAGGTAAAATGAGCATATTAACCAAAGCAATATATAGATTTAATGCAATCCCCATCAAAATCCCAAAGACATTAAAAACCTTATTTATTCATTTATTTTTTTAATCATCACCTGAGGATATTTTTTCCATTGCTTTTCAGAGAGAGTGCAAGGGGAGGGGAGGCGAGAGAAACATCCATGTGAGAGACACATCGATTGGTTTGCCTCCTGCATGCTCCCTGACCAGGGCCGGGGATCGAGCCTGCAACCAAATCATGTGCCCTTGGCCAGAAATGAACCTGGGAGCCTTTAGTCTGTAGGTCAGTGCTCTAACCACTGAGCAAAACTGGCTAGGGCCCAATTACATTTTTTAAAGAAACAGAGCAAAAAATTGCCAGGTTTGTATGGAACAGCCTAAGCAATCCTGAGAAAAAAGAACAAAGCCTGAAGCATCACACTCCCTGACTTCAAATTATACTGCAGAGTAGTGATAATCAGAACAGCATGGTGTTGGCAGAACAGACGCACTGACCAATGGAGCAGAATTGAGAGGCCAGAAATAAGACCACCGGTATATGGGGAAATAATTGTTGACAAAGGAGCCAGAAACACACAATGGAGCAAAGAAAGCCTCTTCAGTAAATGGTGCTGGGAAAATTGGGAATCTGCAGTGCAAAAGAATGAAACTAGATTGTTTGACTCCAAATACAAAAATTGACTCAAAATGGATAGACCTAAATATAAGACCTGAAACAATAAATGACCTAGAAGAAAACATAGATACTAAACTTATGGGCCTTGGTCTTACAGAAGATTTTGTGAATTTGACCCTAAAGGCAAGGCAAGGAAAGGCAAAAACTTCTGCACAGCAGAAGAAACTGCCAAGAAAACAAAAGGAAACCAACCACACAGGAGAAGATATCTGTAAACAGCTCCGACAGGGGGTTAATACCCAAAATATATAAAGAACTCATACAACTCAACACCAAACAAACAAGGAATCCAGTAGAAAAAGGGGCAGAGGACCTGAACTTCTCCCAAGAAGACATACAAATGGCCAACAGATATATGAACAGATGCTCAGCCTCACAAACTGTTAGGGAAATGCAGATCAGCACCACAGTGGGACACCACCTCGCACCCGCTGGCACGGCTGCTATCAGCAGGACAAGTAATCACGGTGTTGGAGAGGCTGCGGAGAGAAGGGAGCCCGCCCTCGCTGCTGGTGGGAGCGCAGACGTACAGCCACTGTGGGAAACAGTCTGGCGATTCTTCAAAAAATTAAGAATAAAGTTACCATGTGACCCAGCAACCCCTCTTCTGAGTATCTACCCGGAAAACTCGAAACATTTTTCTCAAAGATATATGCACCCCTGTGTTCATTGCAGCATTACCCACGGTGGCCAAGACATGGAGACACCAAAGGGAAAAGGGGGCCAATATGGTGATGGAAGAAAATTTGACTTTGGGTGGTGGGCACACAGTGCAGTGTACAGATCATGTATCGTAGAAATGTACACTTGAAACCTATGTGATCCTATCAACCAATGGCACCCCAATGAATTTAATAAAAAGTAAATTAATTAAACAAAACAAGTAAGTGAGAAAAGGGAAGGTATGTGACATATCCATTTCCTCTCCCAGGTGCTCGGGCTCTGATTAACCCCTTATGCATTTTTCTCCTAGATAAAAAAATCCTTCCCAAGTCCTCTCTTTGCTTCTCCGAGTGAAGCCAGCTTCTCTAGTCATTGCTCGTCTCTCGGTCCGCCTTGGGGCTAGAGGAGTGTGCCCCTCTCCCCACGGCCCCGCGCCGTCCTGTCCTGTGTCTGTGCTGCTGCTTGAACCCAGCTGGTCCTGGCCCGTCCCCCCC